TTTAGCGCTACTCAAGCACGCGCCATCTGTGAGAGGATAACAAAAAACATTAAAATGTGTTCAGTAATGACGAGATAACAGAGAAAACTAAATAATGAACTAATCATCGATGAATCATGTAAAATAAGAGACCCAGAGGACCTGTATCGTTCACCTGGATCTTTATGACCAACAGTGGTACAAAATGTACCTGTCTGTGTATGTGTTCCAGAGTAGATGCTTAGATTACCCCATTTGATCCCGCCCCTCAGTACCTCAGGAGGGTCAGCCCTTGCATTTGTACAAATTATAATCCCCGCTTCCTTAGGATGCTTCCTACTTCTTTTAAATCCAGGAAAAAAGATGCTTAGCAATGTCAATCTTTACCTTCTGAATGCGGTGCACACTCTCCCGCGAAAACACATTTTTTTTGGTTACCTGTTATCATTATCTATGACGATTTTCATTGGTCAATGTGATCATGTGACTAAATTTTATACGCTTTCCAGTGTCGCGCATTCACACTGTTGTAAAATAATTACCAAATAAAGTGCGTCAAAATTTCTGGTTTAAACCACCAAATTTGCTTCTATGGCTTAAACGAAACTTAAAATCAATAAATAAAATGTTATATACATGTATGTCATTTGTTCAAATTACGTATTTTGGTGGTTCAATTCTTCTATTTGAACAGTTTTGTGTATGCACATACAGAGTGTCTATGCTAACGTCACAATGCGCCGTGCACGTGATTTTAAAGTCTCTGAACACGAATCACGCTTTGAGGCATTCATGATATACGTGTCACAGAAGAAAATATAGAGTTGTATACTGTTGTATAAAAATATACATATTTTATAAAGTTTGATGTAGATAAAGGTTAATTTAAAACACCAGCGGTTCAGATCACTTAAACTCGATCTTTGAAACTATGATATTTGGCATGCGACTTTCTTTCGTTTAAGCTTGAAATATGTAATTTATAACCCAGAGTGATGTATTAATCTGCTACAATCCGTCGATCTCTTGTTAATAATAATTTGTTTGTACTAGTGTATTTATGATATAATGTATACTTCAAATAGGCGAATCATGAGTGTTGGCTCAAGATTTTATTCCTTCACTCAAGCAACCTCGTGCAACACGTAAACGTGTGTAACTAGAGGTCGTAAAAACAGAAGATGTACAGCATTAATCATGGAAGGTACACGATCCAATGGTAAATTTGTGTAATACTAATTATATAGAACTTTATTCCATCTTCATGTCCCTAAGGAAAGTTTTTGATTTGGGGTTCTAAATTTACATAAAGAGGTTCGATCATTTCTATAAAGTTAAATCAGGTGAGGTTCAAAATTGAACTGATATTGATATATTTAACAATATTAAATCAAAATAACACAATGATATCAGGGACGCCCTATCATACGTCACAGATGACATCTAACAATATCAAAATAACACATAATATCAGGGACGCCCTATCATACGTCCCACATGATATCTAACAATATCAAAATAACACATAATATCATGGACGCCCGATCATACGTCACAGATGAGATTCACAATATCAAAATAACACATAATATCATGAAAGCCCTATCATACGTTACAGATGACATCTAACAATATCAAAATAACACATAATATCATGGACGCCCTATCATACGTCACAGATTAGATTCACAATATCAAAATAATACATAGCATGGACACCCGGTGTCATATCATATTTGTATTCCCCCATCCTAAAGTGTCCGGGAATACTTTTTTGTCTATCAGAAATGTATTCCCCCTATACTAGGAGGGGATACATCCATGACGGTTATAAGAATAGTATCTAGAGAACAATTATCTGAAATATTAGGAAGGATATACATTTATGAAAGGCATTAGAATAGTATGTAGGAGGTATTTTATTACGAAATATTATGGAGGAGGGCAATATTATAATTCTATACTGTGTGTTCTTTTACTTTTAAATGTTTTTAAATCTTTTTTGGAATTCGAATTCAGTAGTACCCATACTTTGTGCCACACACGTACCTCCCTTTACACCTTATGTAAAAGGCCAAAGACCATATAGTCTCCCCTGATAAATGATTACTCAGAAATACAACTGGTCAGAATCCATCATCCTGGAAGCCTTGAATCCTTTACAGTTTAGTGATAACAATTACAATGCATACAAGTCTTGGCTCAACATTATTTCAGGAACCAGTCATTGGCTCATTAGAATACAAAACAAAAAGAAAAAAAATCAGTCACTCTATCATTTCATTTATTATGTCACATGTAGCAGAAAGCACCAGGCTTTATAGAATGTGTACAAAAACAAGAGGCCCATAAGGCCTGTAAGGCTCTGGATCTGAAAGCCCACCAATGTCATACATGCCTATAGGTTGGATATTTTTAATATTTCCAAATTAAAGCTCTGTCACTTAAGCTCTTTGATGGGGCAATACCAATGGGTAAATTATTATATCATTACTGTCTTTATCTCCTGATGTCCGTTATTGCTATATATTGTTAAATATAAACCTCGTTCCCCCTAGATATTTTTCTGACAACCATCATTATATGTATCCCTCATAGATAAATGATAAATCTTCAAAATGAATTTCACAGTTGGCATTCACATTGCTCATGAATGCAGATTAAAGGTAATTCATTGTTCATGTATATGATTCTCAATATTCGGTTTAATTTGTTGTAAGATGATAAAGCTTCTTTGTTAATTTACATGTCGGTGTGTCGAGGAAATGAAACTCGGGACAAAGTTCATGATTATTTTCGTTTTAAAGCCAAGGAAAACAGTCGCACATGCGCATACGAAAAATATACAACATCAATACTGCACCATTGTCAACATACCCAGTTTCTATTTCACAACAGTAAATACGTACATCCGCTTGCGCCGAAGCCCAGCAACAGAACGAATAGTTGGAGAGACAGAAAGCCAGAAGAGGCGTGACGTAAGCAGGTGTAGAAACGCATTAAGCATGCAATGCAAGTGCATTTGATACAATGCTGAACCGGGTATTGAATGTATTGAATTCGAGTGAAATATCTCGTTCTTTATGGACATATATGTGGAATACAAACTGGACCCGCGAATAGACATCATCATAATGTTATCGTCTGATCTATTCAGTGACTCAACCCTATAAAACATTCACCGATCGATAAGACTCCATTCAGCGCGAGTTGCTTTAAATATGCTAATTAGTAATACAATAACAGGTGAAAATCGTACAATTTACACGTCAATATTTCGGTATCGGGCAGCCGATTTTCATATGGTTTGCGACGTTCTTGATTTTGCTAAAACCAAAATCCCGGATTTTGACAGAAAATGTTTCTTGAAAATAATGCTTATATGAATGGTTACTTCTCGCATTTTGTACGTGTATGTGTCGGTTTTAATTGGTCCCCAATAATTTCGTACAAAATTTCATATACTGCAGCATATGTTTTATTTTATTTTTATTTGTAACGCTTTCTTATCCAAGTTTAGTCTTTGAGACTGTCTGAAAAGTGATTGTCGTTATTTCAAATATTTTACATTAAAAACTATACCATGCTGCATATGAATTATACCACTCCATTTCGGATTCGTTCGTGCATGCCTCTTAACGCCATTTATACGATAGAATGAAAACTTCATAATCACATTGGCGAATCAATATAAGTATTTATCTTTACTTAGTAAAAGAAAAGAACTTGCCAGTGAAATTGCTCAAGAGTAATGTAATTTTTTTTAAACATGGCGGACCGATTGAAAGAGGACAACCATACACGGGTATCTAAGTTATGACCAGAGACGTATACATATCACATGTCCTCTCTATACTCATCTCTTAACAATGACTCCAACACATGACTGCCGCTAGTCAGTAGTGGACAATAGAGTGTCACCCGGCGTTTATTACGAAATATAAAGACAAGAATGCATATCTTTACAAACTTGGACATTTTTCATAACTCCACAAACGACTCTTACACCCGCATACATTCCGCCCAGGAATAGCTTGAGTAGATAAAAAGAGCTAAGCGAGCCACTCAACCTGAAAACCTATCAGGAAAACAGGAAGTGTACCAACCCTCAATGCTTAAAGCTCAGCGCGTTGGATTTTTAACAACTCAAAGCCATTCCGTACTGAAATAAATACAGTTAAAAATGTAATACTTGGCAAAATTTTTCTTGACTGTACTTGTGGGTGTCCACGGCTAGAATGCCCGATACCTCGCCTACCCTTACACACTTTCTTAACTTGCACGTGCGGACAACGCGTCGCACTCCCATTGGACCATACAACTCTCACGAAGATACCCGAATACCGTACCTATAGGACAATTATTTTCCGCTATTCTCCGAAACGCGGAAAATATGAAATTATATGTCTCTCTTATGACTAAAGATACACATGTACACACCGTTGTCATTTTTATGTGACTTAAAGGATACAATCATTACATACACAAAAGATCACACCATAAACGCCGTTTTGATATAAAAAAATACTGGGCTTTGATATTTATGCACGGTAAAGAAGAGTTCAAGTCAGTCACCATTTTGGAATGTGCTGCATCAGTAGTCCTCCTAAGCCTAGCCTTCAGTAAACTACAGTAAGGACTAAGTTGATATTGTGCGTTATGGTTATAGAATATGGATGGATGGTGACACCAGGGAGCTACTTTCTTACAAGTCTCGGCTAATCAGTTGGAGCCAGTCGAAATCTTATGATAGTATATATCGCTAGCCGGCTATTACCACGTTTAGACCTGCCATTGTTATGGTCCTAGAATAGGGGTGGATCGTGACATATACAGTACAATGCAGTATAGTACTGATCTGTTTTAGACAAGTGTTGACAAATACATTCGATGTCTGTTTTAACTGAAAAATGTCAACTTTAATCACAAGCGAAAAGGCCCATTAGGCATAACTTTGAATTTCCCGCTTCCCCACAATTGTACGCATGAAACTGTGACGTACATCACATTATTAATGGAAAATGGCTGCTGCAGGACAGCAGCGAGCATTTGCTCAAAAACTTAATAAGTAAGTATAGCTTTTAAATGTACTTTAGAAACGCCTTATCAATACCTCTCAGTTTCTGCCGCATGAACTTGTGTTTTGTTTTCTTTAAATTTTAACATACAATTCTATGATTTAGTTGTAATTCAGAATCGGTCTGTCAGACTCCTCATCATTTTCTGAAGTTTCGGAGAAGGATTGGCTGCTAGTATGCAATATATCTGCTTTACGGACCTAACATTATATCTAAAAAGTGACATGGATACCAACGTATCATTTTCACCGTGTATTATTAAGGAAATAAAATAATTAGGTTTTTTCCAGAGGTAATCTCTTAACTGCTAGATCATATTACAGCTTCCTGTGCACCAACTAGATGAATAGGTGCTTATTGAAGCGACCATGACTCATGATTGAAGAATTTCTTCTTCAAACTTGATTCGAGTAATATTTTGTCAATTAAAGGTCTCTGAACTGAAGAATTACCATAAAAAATATGCAAAATATATATGTTTATTTACAAGATCAACTTTTCACATCAGCTCTGAAGTGATTTTATTATGATGCACTGCTAAGGTAACAGATGGCAGTTTAGTGCAAACATCTCCCTGCCACCAGTATGTCTTTACTCTTTAACCCATATTCTTAGTGCAACTGTTGGGAACTCTGAATGGAACATTGTTTTGGCTTTTCCGCATCAGACTCATGTTTTTACTTGATAAATCAATTATCAGATTTTTAAATTGTTTTATATTGACTAGAAAACGCATATCTTACATTTAAAAGACTACAAGTTCATGTAGCGATATGATTATCACAATGTTACAATAGTTACCATTAAGAGTTGCTACAGATTGATTGATTATTGCATACTAATGAAGCATTAATTATCCAATCATCAACTCACCGGCAGTGGCGGTGCTCAGGAACTCACATTTGAATTGCAGCCATCACAATTGTCATACTGTCAGTAATCACAACTAAGTATGACGAGACAGGTCTTATTGAGCTTAGTAATGTTTTGAGGTTTAGTGTTGTTAATTGAATAAATGTGTTCAAAATGGGGTACTGGTCTAATGGGATACTGATCGAAGTATTATCTACATCTCTAAATGAAATCACAAATTAGAAATCAAAGAAGAATTCAAGATCTGATTCTATGAGTAAATACAGACCATGACATCCATGATATCATATGTTTTTTAATTTGATACTGATGATAACTAATTACAAGTCTCTCAAATTTTTTTTTACTGAAATTCCTCTAAAACAATGATTTTGCAGTCTGGACATTTCAGAATTGACACAATATCTACATATGAACAGTACATGAGTAGATAATCAACATATTTAATAACTGTAGAGAGGGAGCTCTGACAACTTCATAGCCCAGTGAGAAAAACCATTGTCGAATATAAATGTCCAATGTTTCTATTGTTCAATCATCGTTGGCGGTGGCAACGTCACCTCTGTTGTTACAGATAATCTTTTTGATAAACGCTGACTAGTTAATTTGTAATCAATATGTTTTAAACAATTCATTGAAAAATTAATTTTTATAATAAATTCAGGGCTCTCACACCCCATTTTGGGACTGGGGCCCAGGGCCCTTAGAATTCGGAAAAATAGCGGCATTTTCATTAGAATAGGGAAAACTTCTAAATCTAAATTGGGGGAAAAAAATACTATTTTGCATTGTATTCGGCCCCAAATCTGGCAGGTCGAGGGCCCTGAAATTATATATTATATATATTATAATTTTTCAGACAAGGGGCAGCAGAGGTGAGAAAGCAAGTATCTTCCACTATACTGTATGCACCATCTGATCTGGCAAGGAGTGTCAGTGGACTTAACCTGACAGTAAGTTTGAACAATCTCTTATATGACATATAAATCCCATGTCTGTGTTACGAGTCAATTATCAAGTAAAGCTACTACAAATGTACACCTGCTTACATTCCATTACTGAAGTTCTGTTATATATAAGTTATAGTATGATTTTGAGGGAATTATTTCCCTTCTTTGAATCTTGTGTATGGAGGTAAAAAAAGTTCAAAGGAGAATCATGTGAAGATTGATGATTTATCAGATGTAACATTTGGTAATTTGCTGTATGTTGTAGAACATTTGGATGTTTTGGTTGACATATTTGTTTTTCATTGACAATTTCAGGAAATCGGCATCAATTATTTTTTCAGATAGTGAGTTGGTTCTAGGTTATGATTTTTTTTTCTAAAAGGAATCAAAGTCTGCCTGTGTATACAAAGAGTGCAATGAGTAATGTATATAATTGACATGGGTTTTTTTTTATCAAACTGCTGCCATTTGGAATATTTCTCAGAAAGTCTGTCATGATTTATATGAAGAGATTTCTCTTACAGAATGGCCTAGATTAATGTCTTTAAAATCCAGTTCTCTGAAAGATTATGCATCTGACTCGGCATTCTCAAAATATATGGCATGAGATGCTGCTAGGTCTTAATTCTTGGCAAAGACCGATTCTGCATGTGTCTGACAATTTATAAGTGTAGTGATTTATGTACACACATGTGGTTACTAATAGGAGATTCCCATACATATTTGTGGTCAGCCACAAAGGCTTAACAACACCATATTGTGGAATAATGTTGTATTCTAATAAATTAATAGCTGATAATGAAAAAAATAGTTGAAGTGTTGATATTATACCAACAATTCATTCAACAGATGGAATGATACTTGTTACAGGTTCCACTCAGTGATGTAGTAGACCCACCAGACTTTGAAGATTTTGTTATACAGAACCAGTGCACTGTTGAAAGAGATCCTTTTAAGGACTTAATCTTATATCCTGAAGATGACATTGACGTCCACCCACTGCCGAAGCGTTGTCGAACTGTCAACCCGGTTGTACCAGAGACAGGGTATTGTGTTTTTATTTCTTGTACCAGGGACAATGTGTTATTATTTTCTGTTGTACTGTAAACTGGGTATTATTTTCAGGTGAATGGAAAGCTTCTCTATCTTTAACTGGTCATTTGGCTGATGACGTAGTGACCAAAACATTATACAAAATTTCTAACTTGTTATGACAGGGAAAACACATGATATTTAAAGAACAGAATGAAAAGGTTTCGTGTAATTTTATAAATACTTGGTTGTTAAGTGTGGGACAAGTTCACCTTGCAGTTGTCCATTACTATTTTCATTGGTACCGGTCAAGCAGAATTTTGATTGGTACTGGTCAAGCAGAATTTTGATTGGTACTGGTCAAGCAGAATTTTTATCAGTACCGGTCAAGCAGAATTTTGATTGGTACCGATCAAACAGAATTTTGATTGGTACCGGTCAAGCAGAATTTTGATTGGTACTGGTCAAGCAGAATTTTGATAGGTACTGGTCAAGCAGAATTTTGATAGGTACTGGTCAAGCAGAATTTTGATTGGTACTGGTCAAGCAGAATTTTGATTGGTACTGGTCAAGCAGAATTTTGATTGGTACTGGTCAGGCAGAATTTTGATTGGTACTGGTCAAGCACAAAAGTAGTTTTGAATTAGATATATCATAATCCATATTTCATGTTAGGTAATTGACAGAAAACTGCTAATTATTGATAATATGTGAAAAGATGGTGTAGAATTTTCAGTTTAATTATGACATCTTGTTTTACAGGGCTGATGCTGATGCTCATGTGTTTGACTGTGCTCGGAGATATACAGCTGATTATACTACCGTTACTCGCAGGTAAGTACTGGAAAAAATATCACAATATCTTCTCATTGCTTAGTGGTTTGTAAGAGTAGTGGAGAAAGTGTTTTGAGAATAATGGTGTTGATAATGATAATATAACTTAACAGTATGTATGGCACAACTTGTAAAATGTGATGCATTTATGTGCTGTACAGATATCAGCGATACAGCTCCAGTGTATGTAATAAAGACAAGCTGAATGATCACAATGACTTGGTGGTGCAGGAGTATGAGGTGGACGCTGAAGAAAACATGACAGACCAGGACAAGGTAATATGTTCACTAAGAGGGGAGAGGGATCAGATAATTGTCACTATGAACTTTGATTATGACTTGGTGGCACAGGAGTATAAGGCGGATGCTGAAGAAAACATGACAAACAAGGACAAAATAATATGTTCACTGACCTGGATAAGAGTTCCTTTAGATCTGTTTGCTATAAAAATCAATTTTTTTTTTAAAAGTTAGAAAACTTGGGTGATGAAACCCCATGAAGCATGAACAGAGGTAGTGTCACATGTGTTGGAAATGTAGTAAGAGATAGTTTCTATATCAATAATGTTTTTAATATCATACGGTTACCTGTGTGTCTTGATCCATATTGTGTTTATCACTACCTCATAGAGTCTATAGGTTTTACGTTATATTGTGATCACTTTGAGCAAATTTCCTCTTGAAAAAATGCGATACATGAAGTCAGTTGAAGTTGTAAAGCCATTTGCGACAATTTTCTGATTGGCACAGAATTTTTTACTGCAGGAGAACTCAAACAAGCGTCAGTCAATTCATATGAATGATACACCACGTGGTAGCTGGGCCAGCAGTATATTTGACTTGAAACAGTCCCAGGCTGATAGTCTTCTTCCAAACCTGTTTGACCGTGTCAGCTATGAGGAAATCGATCAGAAAAATGGAGAGCAGAGACAGGAAAATCGACAGGACTCACTCTTCAGTTTATACCAGATGCAGGAAGAGGTATTTTTGTTATTATTGTATAAGATGGAGGATTCAGTTTGGCTTTCACCAGTTTCCGTAAGGTTGTTGTGTTTTTGATGCATGACAGCCCTATTTTGATTTCCCCCAAGTCCTTTGGGAAGGCTGGAAAAGAATATTTATGTTGTTGGATTGATGTAAAAATACATTTAATTTGTGATTATTAGACAAAATTGAATTTATGTTACCAAAGTAATCAGTGGAAGTTGTGTTTTTTATCTCATACGAAGCTCCAAAATTTCCGTAAAACATATTGAATTTTCCTCCCCAACTGTGGGTTTTTCAAAATACATTATTACAATCTTTGTCTTTCATTTATTTGAAAGACTGCGCACATTAGCTCACCAACATCCAATTGGTCATTTATATTTGCCATCAGATATTGGTGATTCACAGTTGAAAATGTTTTTTAAGATAATGACACGATCAGTAATGATACCTATTGAGACCTGCCTTCAGATGACATCACATATTATACAGGGCTCTCACACCCCATTTTGGGACTGGGGCCTGGGGCCCTTAGAATTGGGAAAAATAATGGTGGTTTCCTTAGAATTGGGAAAACTTGGGGTCTAAATTGGGGAAAAAAAGATACTATTTTGCTTTGGGAATGGGGCCGAATATCGGCTTCAAATCTTGCAGATCGAGAGCCCTGTTTTACGTACAGTCTTAGTGAATTGGTTGCTAGTCTGCCTGACGTGTAGGACCTATCTCTGCATAACATGATGTTTTGTTTTGTAAGACGGTACCTGCTGATTTGTACATTTTCAAAGCAAAATTCAAATGTAGTGCTTATCTCAGATAACATATAGGTTGCCAAAGCATAAACTATGAATAATAAGCAGTCACTATCCACTGCTTTTTGGGGGATATTAATGTAGGGTTGTCTGTCTTTCCAGTTTACAGGTGTATTCTTCATTTCACACTATGTTTGTGGCGTTGAACAAAGATTCAACTATTCACAACTCCCCCTCTCCACCAAAGAGCTCAGCAGTTTACAGGGCCATGTTTATACATGCTAGATCAGCTCATGTTTTCTGTTACAAGTGGTTTTGATAAAACGCAGAACTCTGGCATAGATATAACAGGGTCATATTCATCCATGCTAGATCAGCTCATGTTTTCTGTTACAAGTGGATTTTATAAAACGCAGAACTCTGGCATACATATAACAGGGTCATATTCATCCATGCTAGATCAGCTCATGTTTTCTGTTACAGGATGATTTGATAGAACGCAGAACTCCAGCTCAGATACCACAAGAACACTTTGGCCACAGAATATTGGTAAAGTGTATTAACCTCAAGTAAGTAACGCAGGACAAACTAACAAATAATAATACTGCTCTGATAGTGATGATATTGGCGGTATAGCATTAACTCGGGAGAAAAACCTAGTGATTGATGAGCAGGGTAGATTTGATACCAATGGTCAAGAACATTTGAACTTTCTGATTTGTATTGTAGTATATCACCAGCATAATCATGTCATGTGTGTGAAGCAAGGGGGTTAGAAAGAAAATTATGTCTTAAAACGAGAATCTTAGAAACAGAATTATGGCAGGGATCAGAAATTTGATCATAAGCACATCTTAAGGCCAAATAATAAGTCATTTGTCAATTCAGATGGGCAACACCTTTTTGTTAAAAAGTATAGAAATTATTCTTACAAATATCTCATCATGTGAATTAAATGCATTCCTTTAAAATTGCACAAATAATTTGGTCATTTGTTTTTTTCGAGGCAAGTATCTTTGAAATAAACTTACCGAAATTCATTTATTCTGATCATTAACACAATTAAAACTAGTTACATGTATATTTCAGATTCTTTTCCGTAGATTCTGAAGGCAGGACTAATGTTATTTCATGAGCCATGATTACACCTCTTAACAAAGTCAGTAACACTAATAAGTTGTAAACATCTCTCTTGTTGCTAAAGGGGACATTCATTTTGCTCCAGCATATCTAGTTTTACCCTATAATTATGCTGTAGATTAAGTGAAATGTTTGATCTCTCCCGATTCAGACTGGAGTTGGAGTTTGAGCCACTGTTTGCTACCATGGCCTTATATGATGCAAAGGAAAGGAAGAAGGTAAGTTATATAATTTTTTTAGGAAGAAATTCCTTTTATCTGTATCCATTTTTTAAAAAATCCTTATATGTTTATATATGCTGTATACAATCACCCTGATTTCAGCTTATCTAACTACCTTCATAAAATCTGTTAATTCTGTCTGTGTCAAGTGACTGACTGAGCTGGTAATAATTTTCACAGAACTGATGCAGTTCAAATTGAGTACAATTCTACTTCAAAATGTTTTTGGATAGTTCTATCATTACTGAACAATGAAATTCTCAGTTAATGTGAACTGTCTGATGTCCACCTGTTCTTTTATGTAATTTTTTTTTTGTAATTCATTGAGAAATATTTACATGAGATATTTTTATTTTAGATATCCGAGAATTTCTACTTTGATCTCAACCCTGAAAACCTGAAGCAGATGATTCGTGGACATAACCCAGCCCAGGACGTGTCGACCATGAGTAGGGCTTGTATCTTCAGCATCACATACCCTTCACCAGACGTGTTCCTCGTCATAAGAGTAATTATTTGTGTTTAGAATTTGTGTGTTTTGGTACATTAGATAGGCACATCACAAATATGGTAAAAACCCTGTAAAAAAATTGTTTATATATTTTTCTTAAGTATTGCTGGTGTTGGGTGTAATGAGTATTTATGGTTGGAGAAAGTGTTACACCAAAGTGTGTGAGCTCTGATAAATGAATTGACAGAAATAGAACCAGGAAAACATTGATATATTTTTACATAACTTTATTGGTATAATTACAGTTGGAAAAAGTATTACAGCAGGGAGATATTGGAGAATGTGCAGAGCCATACATGAAGGAAGACAAGGTATGTTGTATCAATAAAGTTTCAGTGAGAGTCTCTATTTCCAAAATCAGACTGTGTTTCAAAGTGCACCTAGTTTCAGAAATATAAGCTTGATCAGAGTGTGCTTCAAAGTTCACATAACTTCAGAAATATAAGCTTAATCAGAGTGTGCTTCACATTTGACAAAACTTCAGAAATTTAAGCTCAATCACACTGTGATATCACAGTTCACATAACTTCAGAGATGTAAGTTTAATCAGACTGGGTAAACAGATCACTTGGTTTGGGCTCAAATATATGGTGATGTAGATCTCAAAATGATTTCTTTTATGTTCACAAACAGGCAAAAGAAGATAAGCTAAGAGGCAATGCTGCCCAATTCTGTGAAAGACTAGGGAAGTACAGAATGCCTTTTGCGTGGACAGCAATCTATCTAATGAATATTGTGAGTGGCGCAGGGAGTCTAGAACGAGAAGCCTCCGTGGATAAGATAGACACAGATACTTACAGGACAGCCAGCTTAGGTACTGTTCTCCTTTAAATACAGATACTTACAGGACAGCCAGCTTAGATACTGTTCTCCTTTATATACAGATACTTACAGGACAGCATCATTTAAATTTGATCAAAGTTAGTAAACCTATGTTACATGCAAGGTGTACAAAAATCACAGATAGATAATTAGGTTACTTCATTCTGATTGATCAGCTTCTTTTGCCTAATAACACGTACACAAAGAGAAGCTGATTTTGAGTGTGACAATTCCTTTATCAACTTAATGAATCACACTGGGTCGGCTGTTTCTGTACTTGTTCAGTGTATCGGGACATGTCAGTCACACTATCTACACTTTTTACACAGACAGAAGAAGCTCTGGTGTACCTGGTCAGTACGATAGTTTCCGTAAACGTGCTCGAGATGAAAGTGCATCCCGTCGTGGATCCATGGACAGAGGAAGGCCTGGATATGAGAAAAGAGGGAGTTCTCCTGATGATTATGGATCAAGTCTTGACAACTTCAGACCTGTTACCCTCACAGTCTCAAGCTTCTTCAAACAGGTGAATTGAAAATTTATTAAGTGATTACTGCCATAAGCATGCTGAGATCTAGAGAAATGTGTGATGTGGACTTATCAGCCTCATGGATGACTGGTGAATTATAAAAGTTCATAAACAGAAGAAGAAAGACTTTAACAAACGTTTGTTTCCATGCCTAATTAATAAGATCTGTTCTGTTTTTGGACTTGTAAGGTAGTGATTTAATTCAGTTATATGTTTTACTGAGAAAAAGCCGGTTAAGAGAAAGATTATGCTGCATCTTTCAGGCTCTGTTTGATATCCCTGTAGGTTTAGGGAAAGAGTACACTGTGTGTTTCAGACTGTACGTAATGGCCCTGCAGGTTTAAGGAAATGATATGCCTGGTGTTTCAGACTGTGTTTGATATCCCTGCAGGTTTAGGGAAAAAACATGCCTGGTGTTTCAAATTGTAATATCCTTGCATGCTTTGTGAAAGAATATGAATGCTGTACCTTACTCAAGAGTCATAAGGCTGAATTTAATATCATATATAAGTAACATAACAGCATAAGCACTATAACACTTTTCTTTTGACAATCAAATTCCCTACAATATCACAGTACATGTAACATACATATAACAATAGATTATATTCATAATCGTGAAATCACAGCTGTTGATATAAATAAACATTCTGAAACCATGATTAAACATAAAACAAAGTGATAGGACATATGCTGATGTAGTGTGTTTTAAAAGTAGAAAATAGAGTCAGGAATAAAAATTACAAACCAGCATTGTTTTCGTAAAATTGGTTATAAACGATTTGCATTGGCTCAATTGACAACTGAAGATGGCATGTAAAGGGAGACAACTCACATGGTAAGGGATGTGCAGATAGCACAAGATTGGACCTGGGTATCACAGGTGTGGAGTAGCCGATCAAAATGATCCACAGTTTACCTAAGATCATTTGGTAGGACCTTCCACAACTGGGCAGCCATAAAAAGAATAATCTTCTCCAATATTTGGAGGTGTTTGCTCTCTGAATCTTCATTTGGTTATCTTTCCTAAGATTATAAAAAGACTTCTTTCCTTTTATCAAGATTTTGTAAAATAGATGGTGAAGGACAACTTAAAATTTTAAAACCCCAGAGGCCATACATTTAGTGTAGGTTGTAAATAATATCACTGAAGGTTGGGGGAAAGTATAAGCCAGACTATTGTCTAGTAGTTCTGCAGGTTTGGGGAAAGAAATTGTAACAAATGATGTTGAATATTATAATCCTCTTTTTATCATTTTGTCTTTTGTCGACCATTTCTATTTTGGAACATGCTAAATTGGACCGACACACAAATGTATTTTACATTGTCCATAGGTGCCACAAAAGAAATAAGTCATGTTTGCCATGAAATCTCAAGATGTAAATGCTATGGAAGAACTATCTGACATTGTCTTAAAATGCTTTTGCTGTGAAAGGATTTAAAAGAATATGGAATGACCTGAAAACTGGTGTTTTATGAAAGCATTTAAAAATTATTTAAGTTTGATCAATGCCTGTAAAAGTATGCTTTGAAGAATGCATTTGAATCTTTACGTTATTGAATATATAACCCTGTTGTTGTGATTTCAGGAAGCTGATAAACTGAGCGATGAGGATCTGTATAAATTCCTGGCAGATTTAAAAAGACCGTCCAGCATACTGAAGCGAGTGAAATGTATTCCAGGTAAACCCTGTTCTCTATCTAGCCAAACAAAACATATCATGCCAAATTAAAAAAAAAAACATCCTGTGTGCTAAATTGAATGGAGTTTATTCCAGGTAAACCCTCCCTCTGTCTGGCCAGTCATTGTGTTAAAATATGTTTCTCAGATTCTGTCTCAAACCATGTGATGTTTCAATGGGAATCATTCTGTGTCCTCACAATTTATATAACCACTTCAGATTTTGCATAGATTTCATTAGCACAAGGCAGGGTTCTTGATCTGCCATATTTGGGGCCAATATTCGGCCCCGTTCCCAATGCAAAATAGTATTTTTTTTCCCAATTTAGACCCCAAGTTTTCCCAATTCTAAGGAAAACACCACTATTTTTCCCAATTCTAAGGGCCCCGGGCCCCGGGCCCCAGTCCCAAAATGGGGTGTGAGAGCCCTGCAACATGATTATGTTGTTCAGTGTGTAGTTATATTGAGAAGAATGTAGTATACTATGAGGACACTGTTTTCTGTGGTAAAGCCTGTTGATTATAGATGTTGAAATTATTTAGTGTTCAGTTATTTGTCAAACTATGCAGTAGAGAATGACTGAAATACATGGTGTTATATTTCTTTCTAAAAGGATCATACGAATATTTGTGTCTTACAGTAATGACTTAGATACAGGAATTGACAGGAAAATACATGTTTTATGTTTAAATGCGGTCTTCAGGCATCTGTATTTGAACACTCTGGTATTTCTTCATCTGCTCCTTCTAGTTATTGCCATGTGACATCACAGACATAGCTCAACATGTATTTAAAATACTTTTTTTTTATACATGTACATGTAAATGGTTCATGAGTACATGTACCCAGCTATTAAAAGGTAACTTTCAGTTGATTCAATGTCATTTGTTGATACCTTCACAACAGTTTAGGTTTGTATTCATAATCCTCAGTGCATAGGATGTGATGAGCCATTCGCTGTTAAACATTTTTAATTGGTCTGCATTGACCTTCTGTCTGCTCAAGCAATCTTTCATCATAACGTTACAAGCCTAAAGACCCTTTATGAAACTGTTTAGATTTATAAAATTGTAGGTTACATGAAAGATGTTAGCCAGTGTTATAGAATATGACTTACCATTTTAATCTCTTTGTGATGATATAACCATTTAAGATTTTTAGCTTTTGTCTTTAACCTTTTATTTTGTTTGATGTTATTTCCTTTTGGATCGCTGTGTCTTTCACCAGTTGACGGCCCTAAAGACCTTTTATGTGTTGATGGGCCGTTAAGCTTATACTCATGATTAGATCAGGTTCTAATTATCTTTGTTTGCAAATTAAATTTGAAATCAGTGATAAAGGTTCTATTTTCTAGAACCAAATGTTGATGACAATTATTGCCTGAAATCTAAGCATTGTTGTCTTACACACTTCATTAAGTAATATGCCAAATACTTGTTTATTTGTAAGGCTTTATTTTGACACTTTGAAAGGTTCACTAAAGCTAGACATCTCAATGTGCCCTGCTGAACCTCGCTACACTCTGACACCTGAACTGTGGAAAGTTGAGCCCTACCCTGATGAAAAGAACAGACCAACCAAAGAAATCCTAGAATTTCCTTCTCGGGAAGTTTACAACCCCTACTCCACCTACAGGTAACAGACCAACCAATGAAATCCTAGAATTTTCTACTCAGGAAGTTTATAAGTCTCTACTGCACCTATAGGCAACAGAAAAAAACCATAGCAGTTCTTGAGTTCCCTTCTTGGTAGGTTTACAACCCCTATTGATGCTACAGGTAACAAACCAGCCATAATATGCTTAAGTTGGAGTCTGATGAGCTCACAGTCTGTCTGATGCAGATGCCTTCAAAGTAGATTGCACAACTGGATGAATATGTTATGTACCCATGCATAGTTATACAACACAAAGAGGGGTTTAATTCGCTAATTTATCTGTAACATAAAAATGATGTAAAAAGAGACCAAACTGTTCACACTAATCATTAATGCAGATCTTTTATGTAGAATATTAAGCTCTAGAACTGAAGATTAGAATTAGTGTAAAACGGTTGTTATTTGGTGTTTACATGAAAGTTATATGCATTGTACATGTATATGCATTCTAACCAGGAATCATTTAACTGTACAGCCATTTTACTGGCACACAGAGAGAACATGTCTGTTACATGTAAATTTCACAATATCAATCCCAGCCTATTTTCTAGTTACATAGTATATAATCAAAATAGGCCAGACTTAATCAAAGCATTAATTTCGCTTTTTCATTTCTCTTCCAGAAATCTGTTGTATATCTACCCCAAGAGCTTGAATTTTGCCAATAGGCAGGGTTCAGCAAGAAACTTAGCAGTGAAAGTTCAGTTCATGAATGGAGAAGAGGAGACATGTGCCCTTCCGGTCAGTATAAAATCCAAAGAATATTTTACTTACTTTCTAAATGTCAGTTTATAATTTAAGAAATTCTTGACAATTATTCTTTAATGTCATCATATAATCCACAGAATATTTGACTGTTTGAAATGTCATAACATAATTCACAAAATTCTAGACAGTTTTTTAAATGTCAGTATATAATACATTGACATTTTGACACGTTTACCTTTCAATGTTTGCTACGTTATCCACAGAATTTTGGACTGGTATCAATAAAACTACTTACTTAAGATACCTTTTGGGGAGACTTACCTATGACCCTAAGATAGTTTCAGAAAATCATCTGTAATTCTCTGTTTGCAGGAATATGAAAAAAGTGTTAAGGCTCAAGTTTATATAATTGTTGTTTAAGGTGATATTTGGGAAGTCGAACTGCCCAGAACTGTCCAAAGAGGCATACACTTCTGTGACCTACCACAACAAGTAGGTATTATGACAAGTTGTATTGAAAAATATGTAGATCGGCTCTAGTAGCCAAATGAAATACCAAAAGTATTTGTAAAATTGTATGGAATTATCAAACTTTCATCAAAGAGATAGAGTGATATTATATAAAGGATGTTACAAAGGTCTTATAGTGATGTCTTCAGTTAAAGGTCATTTGGTGAAATTTGACATCTCGTTTTATATGCCTATAGACAACAGGTCTTGATATCATTATTGTATACCCTGTGCTGTTTGTCCTTCTGTGTGTTAACTTTCCCATTTTAAGCTCTCTTACTTCTGTATATAAACTAATCAATGAAATGAAGTTGTGTTTTCCTACACAGCTGTTTGATTCAACAATTTTTAGTTCATCGGGTCTGAAGGACTGGTGACCTTCTCCCGTGATGTTGCATCTGTCATCCAGCCCTTAGAGTGGGAGGGGTGGGTTCAGCTGTGGAGGGGTGGGCCCAACTAGGGAAATATAAGTTCTTAGAAAGCCTTTTCCCATACCAGGATATTGTCCATGTTTGGTGATTACTGAATCTGACTTAAAATTTTAGGAAGTGTGATTGCCTGGTTGTGGTTGTTTTTTCAGTCTTTTTATCTTATCCAAATTTCTCCTTCCTCTGTTTTCAACTTATTACTTTGAAACTTGCTGGCATGAAAACCATAGCATGAGATTATGTTCTCATAAATTGCCCTTTGTTTTTTTTAATATTTTAATCTTGTCCAGATTTATCTCAGTTTTCCACACATCATTTTTAAAACTTGGTAGGCTTAAATTTATAACTAGAACATACAGCTCTCCTTCACTCTTCTCACCATTTCAGTACTTAAAATTATGTGAGATTTGAATATTTATTTGTCCAAACCCTACCTTATCTGTTTGTTATGAGTAGGGAACTTTTTCAGGCTATGGTTTAAAAATTATTTCAAATGTACAGGTCCCCGGACTTTTATGAAGAGATCAAAGTTAAACTTCCTGCCAAACTGACCGATGGACATCACCTGTTGTTTACATTTTATCACCTGAGCTGTCAGAACAAAAAAAATGAACCTGTACCAGTGGAAGTGGCTGTAGGATACACAGTAAGTACAGTGATATGACATCACAGTAAAGAGACATCACAGTAAAGAGACCTCACAGTTATTTCTAACAAGAGGTGGATGTTTGCTATGAGCATTTGTGACATCAGTCATATGACTTAACTTACTTAACATACTCACGGAAATGAGAATGCACAATATGTAGTTCACATTTATTTTTTTTTAAATAGTTGTATCTTATTTGGATTTTTTTCATTTTTTTTTTCGTAATTAATTTGTATCAATTTACATTATCTTCACGAATTTCTGAAATTTTGAGTTTTGCATATCATTAGCATTTCACCAAAGGTTATATCACTACACCCAGCTGATGACATAAACAACACGCTGAGTGAGTTAGTTCAGCTTCTGAATAGCTTTGTTACTGTGGTGGAAACAGGTCACTCAAACTCGTGGTTGTTACATAGAGTATATTCTTTTCTTTGTAACTTTATAAAAAATATTTTAACTTGAGTGAAGGAAATATCATATACTACATTTGCTGTTTAACCTCTATTTCATAAATAACTGAAACAATTACTGAAAAACTGATGAATGTGGTACATGGTTTTAGGAGATATTTTTGTGATGCAATATGTTTGTTGCTTGTAGTGGCTGCCGCTGTGCAGAGATGGCAGGCTGATGGTGGGGGAGTTCAACCTTCCGGTGTCTGTGGATAAGCTGCCTCCTAGTTACTCCATCCTCTTTCCAGATGTAAGTATTTGATAAAAATCTTTATTGGATGTTTTGCATTTGACAGCAGTATTTTTTGGATACCCCTACATCAAAGTGGGAGATTAGACTAGGTTCTGTGTATGTAAATCTGCCTTTTTGTCAGACATAAAGGACCAGTGAATTTGTGCCATTTTTTCAAAATCTTTTATTTTTACAGACTGCTCTCACAGGGATGAAGTGGGTAGACAACCACAAAGGATTTTTCCAGGTGGCCATACAGTCCACATCATCTGTCCATACACAGGTCAGTGTATCACATTATCAGGGACTGAAAGGCACACACACTATAGGCTATGCTCCCAAATCTGTAGTAGTCTGGCTGTCTAGTGTAATATCTAGACCTCAAATAGAAATTAATGATCTTCCAGGTAGCTGTTTGTGATTAGGTGTATCAATAAATAGAATATCTGATGAGAATTGTTCAAGATGTTTTGAACTGTAACAATAATTTTAATTAAAATATACAATAATTAGTACAATTAATCATATTTTTTGTGAAAATGATAAAAAAGAATTGACATAATTCACATGTAAACAGTGAATTTACCAATTTAATATTTTTACACATGTAAGACTAGTGTTATATGCCCTGGAGTATTCTTCATTGGCTGTGACAGTCAGAAATGGATTGTCGTCTCATAATATGGACATTGGTATTATGTAATGAATTATAACCTGTCAAAATGTAAATTTTTCCAGTTATGTGATAAAAAGTGTCTTTCAAATTCTTTTCATTTCCTATGAGAATTGATGAAAATCATCTCAGGTTTTAATTTTTGCCGTCCAAGGCCTGCAAACTACTTGCAAAGACTTGTTTCTAAAAATCTCATAGGAAACAAAAACTCATTTGAAATCCTATATATGACAAAATGAATTTCTATACATTGCGATGTTTGTATCATATACAGCTTATATCAATAAAAGGATAGATAATTTGTACACTTAAGCTTAATTTGAAGTATGTTTTGATCTTTAGGATGACAGATTGGAGAAATTTCTGGGCCTCTGTCGTCTAGCACAGGATCAAAAACTTCCACCTCGTAAGAATGAGTCTCAGTTTGAGATGGAACTAAAGTACAGCCTGGGAGAGTTACATTTAGCTAAGGGAGAAAATCTAGTCCAATTTCTACACTTGATCCTGGACAAACTCATCCAGCTTATGGTGCGACCTCCGGTTATGTCTGGACAAACCAGTAAGTCATCCTAGTATTTTCTCTGGTTTTCTTATTATTCACAAATAAGCAATTATCTATTTAGAAAGATCTCCCAGTTCTGAAACAGTATAGATGATATGGTAGACATAGATAGGGGAGTCAGATGGCACAGTGGTAATGCACTAGCCTTTCAGGGGTTCAATTCTCGGAACAGACTTGAAAAGGTAATTGGGTTTCCCAGGATATTCCAGTTTCTTCCCACACTAAGATCCTGCACACATATACATCCAGGCCAACAAGAGTGATTAGTAAAAGTAGAAATAAATTGTGAAGCAATTGTTGTAAAATAAATATAGTTGATATAGACATAGATTGTCCCCACTGATAAGCATGATGTTTTCTGTTTTAATATTTTTGTGTTACAATGCTTTCGGTGTGTTGATTGTGTGGTGTAACTATATGTAATATCCCTGTTAAAAGCCCAGAACTGGGATTTATCATAGTATTATCTTGTGAAAACAGATAACTAAGTCTGTATTGTTAGTCTGAGACTCTAATCTAACTTTCCTCTGTAGTGACTATCGGACAAACTGTGTTTGAGACCCTTGTGCAGATTGTAAAGAAAGTACATGAACTATTGGAGGAAAAGAATGATCACAATGGTCGCAACTCCTTACTGGCTTCCTATATACACTATTGTTCATCACTTCCACATCCTGGCATGGTTCATCAAAGTAAGTCGACCTGATTTACCTTTCTATAAGTTTAGGGACTTGGAGAACTACATTGTAATGAGTCTATTATTAAAGAACTACATTGTAAGAGGTCAGTAATCAGAGGACAACATTTCAGTGGATTAGAGCACTATATTTAATTGAGTCAGAGACTAGAGGACTATATATTTCACTGAATTTGAGATTAAAAGACTGTATTGTAATGAGTTTAATTAAACCGATGTATATGTATTACCGTACGGCTTGTTTTACAATGTTTACACTTAATATTTTACTATTTTTCAGCTACATTGCCGAACTTGAATTCGTCATCTGGTTACAATACGCTGGGGCGACCCTCATCACTACCAGTATCTAAGCAGCCCTACCAGAGGAGCAACAGTAACCCAGACTTAGCTGGTAGTACTCCTACCAGCCCTGATAATGAGGTTCAAGGTATTGTTGGTATGTATTCTATTGTAATATTTGTTTTGTTTTTTTTTTTTGAAAAGAAATGAAAAATTTGGAAAAACTGCATTGCATTCAGTACCTTTCACAGATACACAAAAATTTTGAAATGGCTCAAAAATTTTGAAGTTTGACCATCAGTCTTTAAGTTAACATCAGTTTGACATATTACCTGCTACTTTGATTAAAAGGAAATGTAGGCATGTTTTTCTACATGTGTAGAAATATGACCTAAAATTTTGGCACATTTATAGATTCATTATTTGGTGTTTCGGTCTAAATTATTGGCAATGTTCATTGGCATTATTGGAGGTTGAACCACAAAAACATTGATATTGTTTGTGATGCTTTGTTTGTAAAGTACTTATCAGCCTCTTGCTGTCTTACAGCTGAAGTCCTTTTCAGGATGATAGAGAGAAAAAAATACCCAGTGGTGACTATTGATGTTTTCAAGCTGAGCTAAAATCAGAGATCCTTTGAATGACATATAGAGAACCTCAAATGAAAAAATAGTTCCAAATTCATATGTCTGCATTGCCTTTTTTATTTCTTGATTTATGCTTCTAGAAAAGTATTTTGATCATCAGATAATTATGAAATTTTCAGTAAGTGACCACTTAATTAATATTTGTGATCTGATTACAGGGGGTACTGGACGTTACCTGGACCGGACTGGTAGTATGAGAGGGGAAGATATGCTTTCTCAACTTTTCCCCAAGATGAGGGGAAAGAAGGTGAATAATAACTACAAATATTCATAAGGTTTTTTTTTTTTTATCATGAAAATGGAAACATTTAAATTCATTTGTGTTATGCCTTGGTTTATATTATTGATGTCTTGAACTCTGACCTCTACACACTTAAGGATCTCTGGGCTGTATCATCGAAAGAAAAGAGTGATTCTAATCATCTTCAAGAAATGACAACATGGACAATTAGATGCTTTTAAACATCTTTTCTGTTGTGGGTTCAGAAAGATATACACAGGTCAGTAAAATATGTTGTGTATTTTTGTAGACGGTGCATGAAGAGCTGACGTTACAGTGGCTGGTACTTAGTGGTCCTACACGTGAAGTTGCTCTTGCTCATTCTTGGTTCTTCTTTGAACTCATTGTAAGTACCACATAAACACACTAACCAATTGCTTCCTTCTAAATTTTGTTGATTTTCCTATAGAGGGATAGGCTACCAAGTTGACCTTCAAGGTAAAGATACTATTGAGTGTCATGCCAAATGATACAATTAAGACCAATAGAAGCAGGGAGGGAGGAGGGGCGTATTGTTTTTTTCTGTCTGTTTTCGGATTATTTCAATATTGATCGAAATCTGTCAGCATTTGTCAGAATTAAGATATTAAGAAAAATAGATGATAACTCTTTTTTGTATCAGATAACTAAAATTTTTACTGTCAAACTTAAACCAGATTTTGTATTGCTTTTTATTAGTGAGATCTCAATTGATCTGTCAAAATTTACCGGAATTACGGAACTTCATTTATGAAATTAATAGTAAGAATTGAGGTGAAAACAAGTTCACCAATTTGTGTGTTGGACAGAATTAGATACCTTAATTGTATCATGCTTTTGTTAACAATCTACATCTTATACCCTTTCAGAAAATACTTTCTTATTTTATTTCGAATAACCTTTCACTGGATTACACCAGATTTGGTCTCCAGTTTTGGTTTACCTACGTCTCTGATTTAATGCAAAACTGCCTGTCAGGTACGTCTTGGCCCTCATGTTGGGGGTGTAGTGTTTTGTAAATATATCTTAATGTCTTTTTATTTAGATAAAAAGTATAGCTGAACACCTGGCTAAAACGGATCGACTTAGTGCCCCTCGTCAGATGAGATTTCCAGACCACTTTATAGAAGACATCAACACTTTGGTTGGAACCTTCATTCGTGACATCCTTGACAGATACATCAAGGTATATATTTCTGAGATAGCTTTCGTTGTAAAGTGTCTAATCTAGCCCCTGTCCAATCAGATCTCTTGTCTCATTAAGAAATGTAGTTCTATTCTAAGATAGCTTTCTGTATAACCTGTCTAATCTAACCCCTGTTCAATCAGATCTCTTGTCTCATTAAGAACTCTAGTTCTAAGATAGTCCAATCAGATCTCTGTCTCATTAAGATAATTATGTAGTTCTAAGATAGCTCTCACTATAAACTTTCCAAACAAGTCTCTGTCCAATCCAGATCTCAGTCTCATTAAGGTCTGTAGTACTACTGTCTACAAGATTGCATGTGGTAGACACTGCTGGTGGACGGTTAGTCCAATTGATCTACCATAACCTGTAAACTCAAGTTTTGATTCATTTGAATAGTGGTGCAGTTTAGAATAAACATGTTCTTGAATTAAAAACTTTATTGTACTGTAGAGCTAGTGTTTCTCTGCCTCTAGATTTTGTTTTGTTTTGTTTTTTTTTGTCACTTTAGGTTTACCACAGTTGTCTCCTAGGCTTCAAAATTTAGACCCTTATTATCAGCTGTATGTTGCAATTAAGTTCATTGTTTTGGCCCTACTGAACTCTAAACTTATTTGTAATAAATGGTGCTGTCTACTTATGTCTCTTTTTTTTGATAATCTTCTAAGATTGCTGTCAGTATAACCTGTCTGATTTAGCCCTTATCCAACCCAGATCTCTGTCTCATGATGAATCACTTCACACAAGTTTTTTCTGCATCTGTGCGAAACTATATGTTGATAAAAAAAGTTTAAGGATGCTAATACTTTATATAGAGGTTCTCAAGGGATAAAAAATTAATGTTGTATAGTAAGACTATTTTCATTATTTTAGTTCACATGCCACAAAATATCCTCTATCTGTTCATCAACTTTTAACATCCTTAGAAAACTATAAATTACTGGATACTGATATTTGACAAAACTTTTCCTGGGTTGGAGAACTATATTTTCCTCAGTTAAATGACCTTAACCTAATTTTGAAGTCACAGGGTCAAATAATTTATTATGCCAGTAGATGCAAAGGGTTGAATGCAATGAAGTTTTATCACATGAACAGCCTTGACCTATTTTCAAAGTCACAGAGGTCAAATAGGTGAATTGTGCGTTGTCCGTCCTTTCGTTCATTTGTCACCAAATGATTTGTTAAGGCCATGGCCATCATTTCTGTGCCTCTTGTTTCTAAAATTGTTTTGACATGATTGGGACTTGCTTTTCTTTTGGGCAAAATCTTCAAGTTAAAGTTTTTACATGGTTTACCACTCACTCACTCATGAATAGTAAAACAATTTCATTGGTATCATTCTTCTAAATGATTATAATTTCAGTGTTGTGGTTTGTGGAAGCTGTTGGGATGATATTTTGCTTTGCCAATTTTCATTACACTAATGTTTCATGCTTGTTTTTTTGTCAGGAGCCACCACTGATCAGAAGTCTCAACACCAGTCTAGCATTCTTCCTTCATGACCTTATATCCTACATGGATAGAGGATACGTGTTCCAGCTGATTCGCCAGTACTGCAAAACAGTAAGTGTATCAAGTAATTCTGAATAGTAATGATATTGTTAGGATGGTACAGGTTTTCTCCTTACTTGTACAAGAGAACTGTGATGTATGAATCTCTATATGTAAAAAGTTTCTGACAGGCTGCGTACATGTACACGAGTGTTGTGATGTAAAGATCTTATATTACAGGTTTCTGACAGGCTGCGTACATGTACACGAGTGTTGTGATGTAAAGATCTTATATTACAGGTTTCTGTCAGGCTGCGTACATGTACACGAGTGTTGTGATGTAAAGATCTTATATTACAGGTTTCTGTCAGGCTGCGTACATGTACACGAGTGTTGTGATGTAAAGATCTTATATTACAGGTTTCTGTCAGGCTGCGTACATGTACACGAGTGTTGTGATGTAAAGATCTTATATTACAGGTTTCTGTCAGGCTGCGTACATGTACACGAGTGTTGTGATGTAAAGATCTTATATTACAGGTTTCTGTCAGGCTGCGTACATGTACACGAGTGTTGTGATGTAAAGATCTTATATTACAGGTTTCTGTCAGGCTGCGTACATGTACACGAGTGTTGTGATGTAAAGATCTTATATTACAGGTTTCTGTCAGGCTGCGTACATGTACACGAGTGTTGTGATGTAAAGATCTTATATTACAGGTTTCTGTCAGGCTGCGTACATGTACACGAGTGTTGTAATGTAAAGATCTTATATTACAGGTTTCTGACAGGCTGCGTACATGTACACGAGTGTTGTGATGTAAAGATCTTATATTACAGGTTTCTGACAGGCTGCGTACATGTACACGAGTGTTGTGATGTAAAGATCTTATATTACAGGTTTCTGACAGGCTGCGTACATGTACACGAGTGTTGTGATGTAAAGATCTTATATTACAGGTTTCTGTCAGGCTGCGTACATGTACACGAGTGTTGTGATGTAAAGATCTTATATTACAGGTTTCTGTCAGGCTGCGTACATGTACATGAGTGTTGTAATGTAAAGATCTTATATTACAGGTTTCTGTCAGGCTGTATACATGTACATTAGTATGGTGATCTAAGATCTCACTGTTGTGTTACAGGTTTCTGACAGGCTGTATACATGTACATTAGTATGGTGATCTAAGATCTCACTGTTGTGTTACAGGTTTCTGACAGGCTGTATACATGTACATTAGTATGGTGATCTAAGATCTCACTGTTGTGTTACAGGTTTCTGACAGGCTGTATACATGTACATTTATATTGTGATCTAAAGATCTCACTGTTGTGTTACAGGTTTCTGACAGGCTGTATACATGTACATTAGTATGGTGATCTAAAGATCTCACTGTTGTGTTACAGGTTTCTGACAGGCTGTATACATGTACATTAGTATGGTGATCTAAGATCTCACTGTTGTGTTATAGGTTTCTGACAGGCTGTATACATGTACATTTATATTGTGATCTAAGATCTCACTGTTGTGTTACAGGTTTCTGACAGGCTGCGTACCTTGGCTGACAGTACAACTCTGATGTTGCTGAGACTTGATTTTATTCGTATTGTCTGTAGCCATGAGCATTTCTTTCCCTTGAACCTGCCATTTGCTACACCACTGACTCCCTCAGGCAACTCCTCAAGCCCTACCCCAAGCATCTCTAGCATCAGCTCTGCCACTTCGTACACCTCAACCAGTACTCTGACAGACAAGGGACGCTTTTATGAGCTCACTCTGGAGTTTAGACAACAGCATTTCCTAGTGGGCCTCATGTTGTCTGACCTAGCAGTGGCTTTAGAGACCTTGTAAGTTAACACAATTTGTATTGATAAGGAGCTGCTGGTACTCGCAGTTATCTTGTACTGATAATGATCTGCTGTCAGTCACAGTTAACTTGGATTGATAATGCACTATGTTCACAAGAATTACTGGACTTCAAAATCCGTAAAACAGATAATTTCATTTCCATCAAAGAACTTCAATTTTTACAGTCAGAACTGAACTAAATTGGTATTGCTTTACATAAGTGAAATCTCCAATGAATTTAATGTTGGTCAAAACATTTGTCGGGTCAAAATCTGTCACATTGTCAGGTCAAAATCTGTTAACATTTGTCAGGACAAGCTCTGTCAACATTTGCCATGTCAAAATCCTTCAACATTTTCCAGGTGAAAATCTGTCAACATTTTCCAGGTCAAAATCTGTCAACATTTGCCAGGTCAAACTCAGTCAACATTTGTCAGGACAAACTCTGTCAACATTTGCCATGTCAACATTTGACATCCTTCAACATTTTCCAGTCAACATTTGTCAGGACAAACTCTGTCAACATTTGTCAGGACAAACTCTGTCAACATTTATCGGGTCAAAATCTGTCAACATTTGCCAGGTCAAACTCAGTCAACATTTGTCAGGACAAACTCTGTCAACATTTATCGGGTCAAAATCTGTCAACATTTGCCAGGTCAAAATCTGTCAACATTTGTCAGGTCAAAATCTGTCAACATTTGCCAGAGCCTTGGGATGTTAATAGTAAAAATAAAAACAAGAAAATGGTAAAAACAAAAAGTCCGCCACTTTGTTTGATGAACATAGATATAGTCTTAAGTTGCCATCACTGTCCTTAATTTATTGTATCTTATACTCTATGCTATATTTAGCACATGCATTCCTATTTACCTTTCACTGGACGCCATATTTGTTCACTCACACCTTTGATATACTGCAAAATTACATTTTAATGAATTATCCTAGCCTAGGGTCCCTCTCGGGGGGCATAGTGTTTCTCAAACATTAATTTTGTCTTCACAACAATCCTGTCCTACATCATGATTTTGTCTTTGTCGTTGTCATGGTAACCCTTTCAGGTTTTGTGAATTCTTTTTGTCTCCATAGTAACCCTGCCATACATCAGCGTGCTATCAACATGGTGTGCAACATGTTGTATAATCATGACCTAGATGTACGCTACACAGACCCAGAAATGAAGGGCAGGTTAGCTGCTTTATACATGCCCCTCATTGGCATTGTCATAGACGCCCTCTCACAGCTTTATGACCCCAGGGTCGAAGGTCGATACAGAAACTCTGGAAACTTTGATGATGATGAAGGGGACAAGATCAGCCACCGAGTGGCTATGGCAATTGCTGGTGGAGAAGGTGTATTTGGAGGAAGAGTTTCTGAAACGCCACAATCCAGCAACAATAAGGTTTGTCTGTTGTTTAGCTTCATGTGTGTGTGATAATACACGTTAATGATCTTATAGATTAGTATTTATAAATTTCAACTTTGCCCTTTGTTTTTTTTTTTTTTTTTCTGACCAAAAATGAATCTGTTTATGAACAAGGGTGGTCAGCATTTAGTTTTGGTGCTCTTCATTTTAGCTGACCTTCATCCTATTTACTGGATGTTGTGTGGCCGTGAATTATCAAAATTTATAATTTTTGTACAGATGAGTGAGATATTATAATATCATCTCCTTCTTTTTTATCCCCAATTCAACACACTAGGTTTCTATTGATTACTTAATGCCTGTTGTTTCGTTCGATTAAATTTTCCATAAATTTTCGGTTCTGTATCAATTAAAGACCTCCAGAGTTTTAACTAGATGTGTATGATATATCAATGAATTTTTCACTAGAATTATATGTTTACATGTTTACCAAGTAATTTTGAAAAATTTTGATGTTTACTTATTAAACTAGTGTGTAATCTCCATAAGATTTCGATGTTTACTTGTAACAAATTTACATTCCATTAAATTTTAATGTTTACTTCTTAATATATATTTCGTGAAATTTGGATGTTTACTTTTTAACCAATTAAAATTCCATTAGATTTAAATGTTTACTTCTTAAACAATTAATTTTCATATGATTTAAATGTTTACTTCTTAACCTATGAATGTTTTCACCTAATCTGACCCTTCGGTTTAATATTTTTCAGACCAAGAAGTGTCCTCTCAGTGCAGAGTGCACACGTAACCTACTCATTTGTTTTATGTGGGTGCTAAAGAATGCGGACCAGACAGTTCTGAGACAGTGGTGGACTGATCTTAATATAGGTGTCCTTAGTCAGCTGCTGGAGGTTGTCTACTTTGCTATCTCCAACTTTGAGTACAAGGTTTGTTCCCTACATATTAAGTCAGTTGTAGATCAATGGTTAAGTTTTCTCGTATTTCATGTTTTTTTTTTTTCCTTTATTTTTATTTAAGAAGAAAAATAAGCTTGTTTTCCTGTCAATGTTAATGTTCCTTCCATTTTGCAATGTAAAAGAAAAAAAACTGATGAAATCACTGATGGCTAAAAATTAAGAGACAGTTTGTTAATATGACAGAATCAGTAATCAGATGAAAACTTGCTGTAGTGTTTTGTTATATCTTGTAGTAGTTGCTCTTTGTTAATTACATATACTGTTCAACTTTTGTTTGATCATAATTTTAGTAATGAACTATCAGTTTTATCATTTCAGGCATATACAAAATGTCTGAGCATGTTTGTTTCTAGCATGTTTTGTTGTCCATTTGTTAGATATGTATAGGTGTGTGTGTTTGTTTGTTGGTTTTATTTAATGTTTAATAATATTAAGCAGTAATTGATGTAGTTTTGTAGGTTTGATACATGATATGAACATATGTGTTGTGCCTGATGTTATTAAATTCTCACAATTTCCAGTATGCAATTTTCAATTTTCAATATCTGAACTTTTAGTAATATTTAATTATTTCCTAAGATTGTGCATGTTATTCATTAGTTATATAAACTGTTTTAATTGCATGATAAAATTGTTCGAGATAAATATTGCATGTATCATTCCGTTTGGTGTTTTCCTCCGCCTTCTGTCTCCCCATCTCCATGCTAATTTATTCCTGATCCTTCTCACTGACCTTGGAAGATAACGTATATTGATTTGAGATCTATTGAGTCTGTCCATCTATCTTTATTTCAACCATAACTTAGGTAGGTAGGTTTTTGTCTGTTCACCCTTATTCCTTCACCTTCTTGTCATTCCAGCTACTATAGTTCAAAGTAGATTTGGATGAAAATTAATAGATTTACTGAAAAAACCCAGGGGGTGGGGAGAGTTTGAAATATGGTTCTCACAATCAACCTAAAATCCGACTCTGACTGAAAATGTCTTTGTCTTTGCTTGATCGTCCACTGAAAATGATACTCAATGTCATCACTTTAACAGTCACTGAAAATGTCACTCTTTGTCATCACTTTAGCAGTCACTGAAAATGTCACTCTTCCTCATCACTCTAGCAGCCACGAAAGATTCACTCATTACCATCACTTAATCAGCCACTAAAAATGCCACTCAAGTAGCCACTGAAAATTGAACTCATTGTCATTGTTTGAGTGGCTACAACAAATGGCTCCTATTGTCCATAAAAATGCCACTCATTGTCATCACTTAAGCAACCACTGAAAATTATACTCATGGTCATTGCTTGAGTGGCCACTGTAAATGACACCCATCGTCATCATTTTAGCAGCCACTGAAAATTGAACTCATTGTCATTGATTGAGTGGCTACTGCAAATGGTTCTTATTGTAATCACTTTATTGGCCACTAAAATAACACTCATTGTCATCACTTCAATAGCAACAGAAAATGCCACTCATTGCATCACTTTAGCGGCCACTGAAAATAATACTCATTGTCAACTTTTTAGCAGCTACTAAAAATGGCTCTTATAGTAATCACTTTATTAGCCACTAAAAATGCCACTCATTGCATCACTTTAGCAACCACTGAAAGTTATACTCATTGTAATCACTTTATTGGCCACTGAAAGTAATACTCATGGTCATCGCTTGAGTGGCCACTGTAAATGCCACTCATTGTAATCACTTTTAATAGCCACTGACAATGACTGTCATTGTCATTGCTTGAGTGGTCACTGAAAATGTCATCAATCTAGTGGCCAGTAAAAATAACCCTCATTGTCATCATCCTAGAAGTCATTGAAAATGCCACTCATTGTTATGTTTGTCATCACTTCAAAGGCTAGTGAAAATGGCACTCAATGTCATCATTCAAGTGGCCACTTAAAATGGCACTCATTGTCATCATGTAGCAGCTACTGGAGTGGCACTCATTGTCATCATGTAGCAGCTACTGGAGTGGCACTCATTGTCATCATGTAGCAGCTACTGGAGTGGCACTCATTGTCATCATGTAGCAGCTACTGGAGTGGCACTCATTGTCATCATGTAGCAGCTACTAGAGTGGCACTCGTTGTAGTCACTCTAATTGGTCATTGAAAATGTCACTCATGGTTATTAACTATTTATTATAATAGAGTATTATGTGATAAGTCCATGTTCAATGTCACTGATATGGAAAATAGAAGTAAACAGAAAGTTTCATATTCTTTAAGCTGGACAGAGGTTTTAATACCAAAATTTCCAGGTTTTTGGACTTACCTTTTATAATACAGGGTTGTAACCTTTTCTGTCTGTGGTCAAAACATCTCACAGTAGCCAATAGTTTAAACCTTTTACAGGAAACTTTTGTGTTGATTCAATAGGCATTTATTGGAAGAATTCCAAGCCTTACTTATAAATGAATTAAGGCAAGAAATAGTTCGTTGTATCTTATAACAGTTAGGTTTTAAGCTAAACATGTTCCCATTATTGCCTAGAGTCTTATTTTTCATGGTTTGCATAGTAAAATCCAGGTCCAACCCCAGGGAGATCAGACTTCAAGTATCAAAATTTAAATTTTATGATATAGTTATCAAAATAAAACATGATAGTAACATGGAATTAACATTTTCTTAATGAAAATTATACCTTGCTATGTGTTTGATGTTGCAATTTTCTGAACCTATGATTTTGTCTTAGTCGGGTCTCGGATTCACTTAAGCTGGTTTATAACTGACTAGATCTGTTTTCATACTCTCCAAAACAACTGATAAAGTATAAAGATATTAATTCTATAACAATTGTGAAATAAGATGAAACATGTTTATACCTAACATTAGTCATTCGAAGAGTTCATCGTTTGTGATCCTTCAGTAAATATTTTTTATATGTTATGAGTTGATGAAGAGTATGACCTATTTTTACTGAATCTATCATGATTGCCAGTACCCAGTAATACCAACAGCCATTGTTCTACAGACAAAGCGAGTGAAGATTCACTCCATTAACACTGCTAAGGTAAGATTTGGCTGTCAAGAGCTTTACTATCAAGCCACTGTAGTACAGAAATGTTTTATACTGCCAGATCTGCAGTCAGAGGATTGGTGTGACTTGCAGTTGTGCTTTTCTATTTGCCTCATTTAGTTGCATTCTGGTTTTATATTCCAAATATCTGTGTCGGGAGTTGGTGGCTGTTCTTACCCTACAACATGGCTAGTGATTCCTGTACTGTTAGATTTTCTGAACTCAAAAGCTTGGAATAAAAATCATTTCACCTGTAAATACACCGCCACCCCCACCCCGGTAGTATTAGACTTGTATAAACTTTTGCTTTACTCACTGAATCTGGAAGTTTTATATTATCTCTTTTGTCAATATGACTTGAAAAGTGTATTTTTGTAGCCCACTGTCTAATTCTGTTCAATTAACCCTTTGTCCATCAGTCTCTGTATCTTGAGAAGTGCTGAATGGATCATCTTGAAATCGCAAATGTAAGTTCCCCTAGGTCCCTAGTTGTGCATAATTTATATTTGGGACATAAGAAAATGGCTTACAGGTAGCCAACTTGAATTGTGACAGTTATTGTTGGTAAAATTATTTTGTTAAAAGTGCTGGATGAATCATTCTCAAATTTCACATGTAGGTTCCCCTTCGTCCTTAATTTTGCATAAGTAGCTCACCTGATCTATATTCCAATTCACAGACGCCAAACAAGTTAAAAACATCAAACTTTTTTTTTAGTAAACAAAAAGTCAAGAATAATCGTACTTTGTTGGACTCCTGGGATAAAGCCAGACAAAATGGCCTTGACCCATGTTCTAAGGTAAAGGACAAGGGGTAAAAATGTTAATTAACTCAGACAGCTTCTTATGAACCAAAAGGTCTGCAATCTTGATGTTTGGCTGATAGATCCCTGAAATGAGGCCTAACAAAATTTGCGAAAAGAAATCACCTTGACCTTTATTAAGATTCAGAGGGGTCAAATTTGTTGAAATTTTCAAATTACTTCTTCTATTAAACCGGAGGTCTTACTATCATGATATATTCCTGATAGGTTCTTGACCTATATCCGAGATCACAGGATTCAAATTGATTAAAACCTATAAATAACTTCTTCTCTTCAATGCACAATTTGAATGCGGTAATATGAAATGTTTCCGTATTTTATCGAATCATTGAATACCAGGTGGTGAAGATGGATTTTGACATAAATATTTGTTATCACCCTTTCATGGAGTATAGGATATCAATCTCAAAGTTCATATGTATGTTCTCCCTTGTCCCTAATTTTGCTTTGTTTTGGGACTGAGCAAAAAAAAGCATTGCATACAGGTGGCAGTCTTCGGTTTTGCTGGTAATCCAGCTTAATATCACTATTTCTGGAGAACTACAGAATGGAATATTTGCAAATTTCAGATCAAGGTTCCCTCTGGTCCCTAGTTGGACACTATCTCATATTGAGACTATTCCAATAAGAATATTACTGACAAACAGCCATCTTTAATTTTGACAGATGTCGTTTATTATCATATGTACATTTTTCTTTGTTCCTGATTTTCTGTATTCAATATTCCGAACAAAAAAGATGATAGATGAGAAAAGTAGGAAAAAGATCAAACAAATGAAGAACAAATAAAAAGATCTATGGTGATGTGTGCCAAGATAACTTAGAAATGATAGGAGTCAACATAAACGAGATATACTCGGAGTATGTTAACTTGTGAACTAAATATGGGAGCATGATCTAGCTGTAGGGCTAACATTCAGAGATATGATTCAAGTCTAACACAGTAACAACACGCTGATTTGTGCATGTTGATGCACCATGTCATTAATCATTTTGAATGTTATCATTTCTTCATTTGAGAACATTTTTCTTACTGAAAATAAAATAGTTGAAACATGAACGCCAGAAAAATGCAAGAAACTTGACACTAAGCAGCTTTACAACCTGTTACTTCATTATATCCT